GCCTGCTGTAGGGCTCGGCCGTTTCCCCGCGGGCCTCCCGGCGAAGCTCAGGCCCCGCTGGACCCGCACCGCGCCGTGCCTCGGACTCCCGTGCCGGGGGCGGCGTGTGTGCGCGAGGAAGAGTCGCACGGAAGGGCCGGCAGAGCGCCCCCTTGAGGCCGGTGACTACGGCCAAAAGCCGCGTTACAGCCGGAGTCCTCACGGCCTGCGCCTGCGCGCTGTGCCCGTCCCGGAGGGCGTGGGAACGCGGATCAGGAGTTCCCTCTATCCTTGATGGATAAGCTCCACCCAGCGCCCGTTCCGCCAAGGCGGCTTCAGTCTCCACGGCCGGACCTCCGCCATCTTCTGCCTGAGTTACAGCCCAACAGCAGGTGTCGTCCATGTGCCCCTCTCTGGCCTTACACTTTTGCCTTCTGACAGCCAGACGTGACCTCCTCCCTTGTCCCTGCAGCGCCACCTTCCGTCCTCCTGGCCCAAGGCGGAACCCCCCCCACGTCCACCGCCCCGCCCGACGCCGCCTCCTGCCGGCTCGGACTCAGCCTCCCACGAAAGCCAGGCTCTGGCGCGCAGGGCCGGTCAGTGCCTGCTGCCCGCTTCCTCCTCTGCAGCCTCGCGCACAGGTCAGCCTACTCAGGTCTTCCCAGGTCGCCGCTCGTCCAAGCCACCTGTGTCCTGCTTAATGTCCCCCTCCTTGGAATCCCGCCTTGCGTAGGTGGAACATGGTCTCCCCCAAAGAACTCTTCTGGGTGTAGACCGGTTCTCTCAGTTTTCTCAGGCCACTTTCGTTCTCCGTTTTTTTATGTTGACTGGCAAGCACCCAGCAAGAGTTGAAAGGCGAGTACGATGAATACCCACAGGCACCCCCTCCACCCAGACCGAACAGAGTTCATATTTTTGCCTTATTTACATTCTCTCCACCCTGTGCATGGGTAATGACTCTCCATCCCGAAGTATTTCAGGGAATGGAGACATTGTCGTCATGGTTACAGTACGATTCTCATAGTTAAGAGTATAAGTAACTTCCTATGGCCTCTAATGCAAAGTCCTTAATCAGAGTTCCCCGACTGTTTCAAGCATGGCTCTTCTTCAGGTCCAGCAAGGTTCATACATACATTACTGTTGAGTAAAACCCTTCCATCTCTTCCGCCCCGATTTTGTGAAGTATCCACCTATCCTGAATTTTTATTTCTCTGGGCCCATTTCTGCCGTCCCCTCCTGGCTCATCTCCCTGGTATAGCTGCAATAATCTGTGCCAGCGACTCCTCCCTAAGCCTCCAGTGCTCTCCCTGGGGTCTGGCCCCCAGGCCCAGGTTCCACATCTCCCCTCCGTCCGTATTCTGCCACCGCCAGTGGCAGGGGCAAACCTGTTCTACTCAGCATGCCGCCCTTCACCGATAGCCAGTATTTTCTAAGCATTGACAAGTTCGCCAGATACAAGCCGCGTATGTCACTTGCATCCCCTCGCTTTGTTCCCTCAGCAGCGCCCTGCGGAGCTACTGCTAAATGCCTGTTTTACAGCGGAGCAGAGTGATGTGAGGGATAAGCAGCTTGAACAGATGGCAGCTGGTGAGCAGCAGAGAGGGGATCCCAATCCAGCGCGCCTGCCTCCAATGCCAGGCTTCCAGCTACTGAACTACAAGACATAAACCAAAAAGATTCTTACAAAGAGGAAACAAGCAGATAACAACACGAATCAGTGATCTGAAGTTCCATTGGACCCAGGCACACCACTAAGCCGACTTCCACGAAATCCTGAGCCCACCTCTGGTGCCACAGGGCCACTTACCATCCACCTGGGACTCCAGTTCCGTCCTTGACTTCCGCACTGCCTCTGCCTGACAGCTTGGCCAAGGCCAAAAAACTGTCCTAAGCTAGAGTTGGTTGAATCACATTTTCTGCTTCAAAGCCTTCGACGTCATCCATCACTTACAAAGCTTCGACTGTTGCGGCCTTACATTTGAGCCCCGCACCGCTGCGTGCCAGAGTTGTGTGGCCCTCCCCTATGTATACTGGACACTCCAGCCAAATTGGACTGTCTTCTTCCTGATACCCTGGCTTTGACAACTCGCTTTAGTTTGTGGCCCCCACCAACGCCCTTCAATCTCTTGAGTATAAAAAAATCCCACTCAGGGTTGGATGTTGCTCAGTGGTGGAGAACTTGTCTAGCATGTCTGAGGCCCTGGGTTTGACCCCCAACATCATTAAAAACACAAAAACCAAATGATACCCATCTTCTAAGGCACCATGATGCCTTCTTTGACTGCCCCTCACTCAGATTTGCTTACTTTGTATCTCAACTCTTGGAAGAGCCTATCTAGCAGACAGCTGTGGGTTCTAGTTTAACTCAACTCTACCAGGGCCTGAGTGCTGCAGAGTAGTTTACTCACCCGCCTACTGCCACAGTGCCTTGCAACTAATAGCTGCTCAATCAATATTTGAGGCATTGACTCCACTATGTTTAAGACTTTTACAAGTTGGTTTTCCTGTAATATAGTTCTTCATTTGTCTTTCTCTGAATATAATTCCTAGTAGAAAAAAACTAGCCTAAAAGAAAGTAGCAATAATCCGTTAAAGCTCTTTGGCCAATAAAAGTTTTATATGTGTCATTTATTAGGGCATTTGGTTTGAATCAGATCAACTCTTGTAGCGTAGATTTGTCAAAATATTTGTGTAAAACTTTTTCTCTTTTTGAGACAGGGTCTCTATGCGGTTCAGGCTGGCCTTGAGCTCACTTTGTAGCCCAGGCTGGTCTCAAACTCACAACGATTCTCCGGCCTTATCCTCCCAAGTGTTGGGATTACAGGTGTGCACTACCACACCTGGTCTGTAATTACTTTCATAATGAAATGAGTTACCATTACAATAAAAAGTAACATTATTTACAAACAAATCCTTTCCCTCACCAGTATCCTTAAACAGACCCTCCGACACAAGAATGGATATAATCTCCCTTTCCAAAAAACCTGGAGAGAAATGGAGCCCTTGTCCACTCCAGCTCCTTCATTTGACAGATGAGGAAAATAAGTCCCCGGATTTGTTCACTCAGGAGACAGTGGTGACAGCAGGTCACCTGAGTCCAACCTGGTATCATCGGCTAAGAGAGCCGTGAGGGCAGAGGGATGGCTCGCAGGAAGCAGTCACTGCTGATGGGGGTGTGCCGTGTCTGTAGCACCAGCGCTCCTGGTGTATGTGACGGGCTTCCTCAAGGTCCCCCTGGTGCTGCCCTTGGCAGAGGTGCACACAGGGACGAGGTGGACAGCTGGTGCTAGGACACACGCTGTGCCCTGAACTTCAACTCATCCTGGCATGAGGTAGAGTGAGGTAGTGTTCATTCTTTAGGCTGAAATTTGGCAGGAGGACTGGGTGAAGAAATGGAGAATAAGAATCAAAACTGCAACGGCTGGGTGCCCTTCTAGGCACCTAAGTTCATCCTTGAAGGCTCTGGAAAATTTGGCATGCTTTGAGGCTCAAAAACTGTCTGCTTTCGGATTCTGGCCCAAGTTCCACTTCACATAGCTGTCTGTCCTTAAAACCCCAGAAGGAATTCATAAACACTGCATTTATGTTGTTTTTAAAATTTTGGTCTTTCTGCCTTGGACTGGTTCAGGAGATCTACAGTATTTCTAAAGGCCTCACCTTACTTTTCAACAACCTGAACATGTGTCTACCTGGAAAATAGACGAAGCCAGCATTTAGCTCTCATATGCCATAATTATTTGAAATATATTAAAACATCAGTCGGCGTTTCAGCAAGTCAGCTGCTTGGCTAAACTGGATTTTCTTGTTAACTGCAGGTTTAGAAGAAAATGGTGAAAGTTACACACATATGCTTGTTACTAAAACAGTAACATACGAAGGCATTAGCTTCACTGCGGAGAACTGAAGCAGAGTAACCGCAGCCTCCACACCGTGTTCCTTTCTCCACACAACACCTAGTAGGCAGGGCAGGCACAACTGTCATGGTTTACAGATGCCCCAAGTCTCTAAAAGGTTAAGTGCCCTAGTGAAGACTACACAGCTCCTAAGGAGCAGGTAGACCCTGGAGCTCAGCCTGTGATTCACTCACGCCTTGGCTGAACTGTCAGCCCTGCTTCTTCAAGGCCTTTCAGCCCATTTCTTTGGCAGCCCTGGGACTGCAGATCTTGGCCCAAGTGCCTTGTTAACACTTGGCTACGTGGTGGCTATTCCAGCCCCAGAGCTCTGGTGTTGCCAGCCAGCTCTCCCAGAGGAAGCCAGATTAGCATATTTTAGTGCTGAACACATTTGACTTGCAGCTGTGCAGGTCAGAAGTCCAAATGGATCTCGGTGTGTGGGCAGTCTTGTTTCTGGGGATTCTAGAGAATCGCTTCTGCCTTTCCCACTTTCCAGGGATGGCCCCATTCCTTATCTCCAAGGCCAGCAAGGACCAGCCAAGTCTCTCACTACATTGCTCTGCCTCCCTCTTCCACACTTACCAGATGATTTGCGAAGGTCAGCTGGTCTACTCCCTTAACCTGGTACTGTGTCCCACCTCCATGGAATACATCACCAGTTCCAAAGACTGCATACAGCAGCTTTAAAGCTATTACACCATGGGCTAAGGCAGATGTGTGAAACAGAGATGTGTGATGGGTGAGCCCTTTCCTAGAAATTAACACTACAGTGAGCCCTCGTTTGTCCCTTCTTGTTTTGCCCTTCCTGCCAGTACAGGGAGTGCCCACAGACTTTTCTGGGACATACCTGGCAAAAAGATGTCAAGAATTCCTCCAGGGGGGCGGGAGGCCTGCATACTTTTGAAAACATTTGTGAACTTGTGTGATGATGAAAGCTGTGTGCTGGGGTGTGAGGAGTTACCAATATTCTGTAGGCATATATGAATGAACATCTAAGCTTCCTAGCCAGGGATGGAGTTCAGTGTTGCAGCACTTGCTAGTATGCCTGAGGACCTGGATTTGATCCCTAACACTACCAAAAATAATTTTTTAAAAAATCCAAGCTTCCTACCACTCTTGTAATCACCCTAGCTAGCACTCTGAAATCATTTCATCTCTAAAATGGGGAGAACACATACCTTACAGAGTTGGTATGAAGGTATCATTTAGAAAAATCTGGACATGTGGTTCGCTCAATGACTTCTATTTCTGTTACTGAATGGGAGCAGCTGCAGGCGAGCCATGAGTTTGCTAAGTGCTCTCCTTCCCAACAGGGCTATTTTTCTATTGAACAAAAATTCCACTGTTCTTTTGCCCAGTGAGCTATTCTAGTCAGAACTCAACATGCCTTGTAGCTGCTAAGCAATCTGATAAATCTTACAAGTGAGTATTAACAGTCTGTCCACCTAAGGCCATATCCCCTTCAGAGTGGTCACCCTGGAAGACTACTGTAATTCTAAAAGAGCTCCAAGGCTTAAAACCTTTCTGGGACACCTCCTTCAGAGTGGCCATTCATGTCTTTAACACAGTATGATTTTAAGTCAGTCTTTCCATGATAAATTTTATTTTTAAAGATAGCTGCCAATTATTCACAGCCCAGTCTGGTGAATATGGCAGGTGATTAACCAGATTAACATTTCTGGTTAGCAAGGTGAGACTATCATAAAGCAAAGTTACTTTTGTGTAACTAAAAAATTGGTCTTGATAGCATTGCACATTAAGGTTAAATAGAGGAAATGTGGTCACGGTAAAAATTAAAGCTCACTTTAGTTGGTTTATGATGTGAACCAATTCAGATAGCACTGGGAGTCATTATATATTTAAATAGTATTAAGTGTTTCTTTTAATGAAATTCTTAATTATGATATTCTCTGAAATCTGATTTCATAGTATTAAAATGAGGCTTTAAGGAACAACATTAAATAGTAATGAGAGCGTTCTTCTTTCATTATACATTCTCATGGGCTTTTGGTCCAGATAAGTAATGATCAGACGAGAGAGCTGGCAGCCTTCTTGCCCTCCGAAGTCTGCTAGTAACCGGAAGCTAAGTAACACAGTCACTCGTTTGAGCACATTTAATGACACCCACCAGCTTCCCCTTGTCCTCGGCTTGCTGGCAGTGAAACACCACCGATTTTAATGCAAATGAAAAAAGCCAGCTTTTCTGAAATAATTTCTGAAAGTCCACATCCTCCACATGCAGAAACGGCTCCAGTTGTTCACGAGCTTTCCCAAGTATGTCTGCTTCGTCCTCCAGGGACTTTCTGGTTCACGTGTTCTCCCTCAACATCAATTTCTAGTGACCAAATTCTTAGTTTTTATTTTGTCTTCTTTCTCTTCACTTGTTTGTCTTGTACTTCAATAACCTATTGCTAAGATTCAAGCTGAAAAACCCAATGTCTGAGCAAGCACTCACTATCATTCAGGCCACCAGAGGAGATGCATCATTAGCTTTTACTATTGTCCGTCTACATTCCCCAGCTCTCAGGAACGTAACGGAACATTGCTGAAGGCACAGCACTTAAGTAGGTTTGCTTAAAGATGAATCTGAGCTCTTCCTCCTTTCCCCACCTCCCCAAGAAGTTCAGCTTTAAAACTTCAGAATGAATACAAACTATTTGGGATTATGGAACCATGAGAGCCTTCATATGTTACTTACCTTTACATTCCACCAAATACTATCTAAAAATAAATGTACACTCGTGAAGACAAGGCATCCTTGCTATTTTATTCACACTGTATCCCATGGCTCCATCTCCAGTGCCTAGGACACTTGGCTTGGCCTGTGCGAAGTGCTTAACAAATGCTGCTGAAAGCTTTTTACAGACAAGTATCTGAACTCTCCTTCCTGGAGCTGTCTCTGTAGCTCCAGCTCCCATGGGGTGCTGAGAGCTGGGGCTGACCTGCATAACCCCTTCATCATTTCTCCAGATAGCTCCTTTCCTAGTCATGCTTTGCCTTTAAAACTTTGGAATGAATGCATCTCTAGCTCCTTTTTAATTTTGAGACAGAGTTGCTACGTTGCTCTGGCTGGGCTCAAATTTGTGACACTCCTGCCTCCGCCTCCCAGAGTGCTGGGATTACAGGTGTGTGCTGCCATGTCCAGTCTAGCACCTTGCCACTTTTTTATGAACCAGAAAACTTAGGCTTAAGAGATTTTTATCTTGCTCAAAGTAAAAAGCCTGTGTGACAGAAGTGGTGAAGTGGGGGTTTCAATCTTTGTATCCTAACAAGATGTCTTGAGTCTGAGGGAGTGGGTTCATGTTACACTTCTACCACTTCTGGGCAGACTGAGCTATCTGTACATCTGTGGCCGGTAGCAGGCATATGCAAGGTGCCACACTGCACATGTACACTGCACATGCTTGCTGAGGGCTGCCGGGGACAGGGCCTTGTGTCTGAGATTCCTACTTTCTCTTACTTGTTCTCTAAAAATATGTGAAGTTAATAAATAATATTTAACACAAAAAACTAAAGTTTTTGATATGGATGGACAGTTAATTTTCATAAGGTTATAGCTAGCATAAAAATGAAATATTGGAGGTAAAAACTGTTTCAAAAGAAGAAAAAAGCTCCTCTTTGAGGATAAAGGTTATTCTTATATCAGAAAACTTCTGTTACTCCAATGCAAAATGTTGTCTTCTGCTCTCAACTGTGCCAGTTCTTTAGATGTGGCAAATGAGAAGTCGGGTTGTCTGAAGTTCAGCAACCTCGTCAGGTGAGGTGGTGCACGCCTATAACCCCAGCACTGCAGGAGGCTCAGGCAGGAGGACTGCAAGTCTCAGCCCAGCTTGGGCAATTTAGCAGCTTAAGGTGACCCTCTCTCAAAATATAAAAAAGGGTTGGGGATGTAGCTCAGTGTGAAGGCCTTGAACTCAATCTCTAGTACTCCCCTGCAAAAAACAAAACAAAACAAAAGCTAGCAACTTCTAGCTCTATTTAAAATAAATATTTAAAAGCTATTAAATTAGCAAATTTACACTGTGTAAATAACCTAGTATTTAAGATATTACACATAAAACAATTGCATGCATACACCAAACTATACAACTCACAATTGTGCATTTAAACAAATAGATACCCACATCTGTGCTACTTCCAGTGCTTATATAATACATTTTCTCATTAGCCAATACAGGATGTGGTTAAGAATTATTCTTATTTTACACATGGAAACAGACAGACATTATTCAGTATATTAAACCCTACCCAGTGGAGCCCTGAAGCTTGGATCTGCAAAGTGGTTTAATAATGCAAGTACTATGTATATTTCAATTTTTATTATTTTCAACTTTTCCACTTTCTTAGCAAAAGAAACTATGAAAAATGTTTTTTCCCAAATGTACAATAAAAATGGGAAATATTATAGATAGCCATATACTAACCCTGTGAGTGAGGTCTAGCACAAGCCAAAATCTATTTTGAGGCCCTATGCTTCTACCCAATCCAGACCGCAGCAGTAGAACCCCATTTAGCCAATCACCATTTTTATTCTATCTTAGAGAAAATGCCGCAGGGCACTCCTGCTGCTTCTAAGCCTACTGTACATATACATGTGTACCTGGCAGAAGTACTTCACCCAGCAGAAGCTACAGGGCCTAACTATCCCAGCCTCAGCCCACAGGGACTTGGCACTGGTCCTGTTTCTCCTCTGCGGTCATAACTTACTTCTTCCCCCACCCTCCCTCCTCAAACCATGTACCATGGAAGTGGGCAATACCAACAGTCAGCTTTTCTTCCTGAGTTATCCTCCCTACTATATAGTTTTTATTTTCAGAATTTTCTTCTCCTTTTTTCTAAGTCTTGAAAACATTTACCATAGATGAGGAACCCATAGCTCATATTCAGTGTCAGAAAAGACTCAGTTCCTTTGTTAATTTCTCATCAGAAAGCATACGGAAAAGCTGGACAGAAAGGAAAGCAGGAGTGGTGAGTATAGACTGGGAACCGCTCACCCAGGAAGCTGCGCGTGATGTGTTCTCCGCCACAGAGTGACGTTCCTCTACCATCGCCCTGCAAGCAGAGGAGCCAGGTGCTGGCTGGCTACGAATTCAAAGTGCATCAGCACGTTTAAGTTACTGTTCAGTGAGTTAGTCCTTTAAAGGGTAAAATGTTTTCATTGTATTTGAGGGTATTTTCAATAAATATCTGAGTTGGAGGCCTTGGCTAGAAATCCACTCGCACTGGAAATCTGCAATGCTATTTATCAAAACTACAAATGCCTGCAAACAGACTATGTCAATACTATACTCCATTGTCCCTAAGTATTTCTTTAGCTAGAAATGAACCAAGTGTAAACACTAAATATACAATACAAATCAAGATGCTCCACAGAAGAAAACACTGATTTTCTACATGTCACCTGTTCACTAGTTCGCAAGTAAAATTTACATACCACTACCTGTGTTTTCTTAACGTGTTTTATCTAATCCTAAAGGGTGTACATGAGATGCAGCCAGTCGGAACTGTCTCTGTGGGCTTCTGGTGTTCTTTTGCTGTGCATCCTGTAATGACAGGTGAAGAACAATGTATATCTTAGGCAGTGGCTACGTGACTTCTGACTGTATGGCTAGTTGTGTTTACGGTGCTGTGTGAGAGAAGAGGAAGTGTGATCTGTGCCAGGCAACTTTGGTCCACCCATGATGTAGTTGATTCAGTCACTGTTTACGCATTCATCAGGACAACGGCGTTTACAAGCTGCAAACCTCATTTTATTACACAATTCTGAATCATGAAAGAATATCTGTGGCACAGCTCTCTGTGTCACTGACTCTACCAGGGGAAATATTTTGCAATAAAATAAAGAGTCTCTAAATTCTTCTTGTAAAAGAAGCTGAAGTTTTTTTTCTGTGACTACCCTTTACTCCCCAGTCCCTTTTACCCAAGGGATGGTCCCTGGAGCATCCTTTGGAGGTTTGGTTTCAGGAAAGCTTTCAGCAAACCTCTCTCGGGCTTTGTCCCAATTTTTTTTGCTCTTGCTTTGAAGAGGAACATCTTCAATGGAGGATGGTTTGCCTGTCCCCAAGCCTGCATGTGTTCGCCGAAGCTGAAGCTGGATCTGTTACCAAAAGTGGAGCAGAGAATTTATTTAAACACATTGACACCTGCCTGTGTCCATCATGGTATTCTAACTATAATTCTTTAATTGAAGATTGATGTGAGTGAAAATGTCAACTGCATCAAATACATACAGGAATACACATACCATTATCTGTGGAAATTAACCTCGTTGTTCACACTTTTTGCTGGTCAGTAAGTACAGCCAACTCTGCAGAAAATAGGGCTGCTTAAAGAGCAACCACCAAAGTACATCCAGATGCTACAGCATCCCACTCTAACCGGAGGTAAAGGCCATGGCACATTTAAATTTGTCCCACTCTCCCCGAAGTAACTAAACAAGAAGTTACACACTAAGAATCATTAAGAAGGACCAGGAGTGTAGCTCAGTGTTAAGTGTGAGCAAGGCCCTGGTTTGATCCCCTGCCCTGCAAAATTAAATAAATAATAGAAATCATAAAGAGAACTTCATTTTCCTAACATGAAGGAAGGACTTCTCATTCTTTGTAAACATTAACACCTACCAGTCACTGAGTGCCTTATGTAAGTGCCAACCTTAGGGGTTTATCTTCAGAACATCATAGAAAAATAGTTTTTATCCCCAAGTGAAGTCTAAACTTGTCTAAACCCATATGACTGTTCCGTGGCAGGTCCCGTACACACTCTAACCCAGGTCCAACACAATCCATGTTCTTCACAGTGTATCTCAATGAAAAGGAGAAAATTACCATCATATTCATACTGACCCACTTATTTCTGTAAGTACCAAGTAAAACCATGAAAGTTCTATTACTAGGACATTTTATAAGTATTTTTTTTTTGTAAAAAGTAACTGCAACAGCCTATGAATCATAGGATGAAGGAATTAAAACTCTGTATTGTTTCCTAGACATTCTCCTCCATACTGCATGTTATGTGTTCTGATTCTTGACCCTATCAGGTTCTCCAGCTAATACGGAATCCACCTGTTAGTAAACTAATCGTTCCTCCAGTCTTCAGTACAGTTGCAGAAAGGAGATCATTAAAAGCAACTCAAAGGGCTGGGGATGTGTCAGAGCACGTTCTGTGCATGCAGGGACACTAGGTTTGACTCCCAGCACCACAAAGCAAATTAACACACTGAGAAGACACAGAATGCATGGCTTAGGGATTAGCATTTCTATCCTAGCCTTCACGTAGCACAGACTGCTAGAAGAGGCTTCCACGAGACATAAATGCCAGACAACTAACACCCACATCTGGAAGTGGCACAAGCCACAAGGGCAGAGCCTGGGCTGTCAGGGCCCCTGTATTGAGAGGGCAGGGCACTGCCCGGCTCCGTGTGTCCACTGTAGGAACACAGAAGGAACGGAATGCAGTCTTACCGGGGTTTTCACGCCTCCGCCATCCTTCCCTAGGCCCTCCCCTTTCCTCCAGCCCATCTTCTCCAGCATCTTCCGACCTCTGTTGCTATCGGTAATTTCACTGAAAGAAAAATCAGGACGATAACTGACTGATCTTTTAGACCACAGTTGGTGTAAGTACTTTAGAAAACTGTTTGACATCACCTAATAAACTGGAAAACACAAACTCTACTCCAACACAAACTACTTAACAGAAAGGTGCGCACCGTGTTCCAAATAACATATATATAAGAATGCTTATCCAGCAATCTAACAGCAACAAACTGGTAGCAATCCAGATGTCTATCAATGGTCAATGGACAAATAAATTCATAAAACAGAGTATTACATAGCAACGAAATTAAATGATAACCTAACAAAGTCAGGTAGGACAAAAAAAATAAAGACACACAATAAACACTAAATTGTTCCACTTCTTTAAAATTTTAAAATAAGTGAAATTAATTTATTGCAGTCAGGATGATGACTGCCTTCCAAAAGAACAGAGGAACAGAGATTAGCAGTGGGTACAAGGAGGGTGGGCTGCTGGGGTTACCGTAATTTCCTATTTATTGTCCAAGAAACGTGTATTCCACAATGTTAACCTTATAGTATATCATTAAACTGGACACTTAAAATTTATATGCTTGTCTGTACATAAATCAATTAAAAGGTAGAACAAAACTTGTCACTCAAAAGGCTGGGCATGATAGTAGGTACACACATGTAATCCCAGCACTCAGGAGGCTGAGGCAGAAGGATCTAGGCGAGTTCAAGGCCAGCCTGGGCTGCAAAGTGAGTTCAAGGCCAACCTGAACTGCATAGTGAGACCCTGTCTCAAATTAAAAAAAAAACAACAAAGACACCTGTCACTCACTATTTGCATTTTGTGTTGTGATTTTATATTCTGCTAATTCAAAAGTTTAATTTTATGTTGTTTGTTACATTTTCAGTTCTAAATATGCTAACTTAGCACTTTAGTAAAAATAAACTACACCATGTCAGACCTGTGTTTCGTTTTTTAATCCTGCCCTCCAATTTAACTAAAGTTATCTTCATATTCTCCAACAATTATTTTTAAAATACTCAAACAATATGTCATGGTGCTCAGTAATGAACTAGTAACAAAACAGTTCATTAAATCTGACTCCATAAATTGTTAAAAGCACCACTGTTTTAGGTATTATTAAGAAGAAACTGCTGCCATTTGTAACTGTAAAGCTCTCACAAGCAGATTTTGAGGTATCAACTAAATAGAATACTGAATCAAAACCTTGTAATCAGTTACAACTTCTATATGAACAATTTAAATTTTGACTCACCCTAGAATGAGAAAAAAATGTAGCTAATATACGACTAAGTATAGAAATAGAGTCATGCTGTAGGCCTCAAATCCTCATTTCATGTTTACTGAAGCTACTTTATCAAAAACAAAACACTAAGCCAAAGAAACATGAGCAAAACAGTGTTTCAGAGTCACCAAGAAAATATTTGAATGTTCAAATAATTATAAAAACCACTAGCACACCAATTCCTTACTAGCCCCCGCTTGATGTTTAGATATATAAAAGTACACTTACATGACTGAGTGTCCAGAATGTCAGCCATGTACTTACGGGTGTGTTTACATACATGTGCACATGTATCACTTTCTGTGAGTAATGGAACACCAGCATTAAAGTGTAGGCAGACTGCAGTGTTTCCATCTTGTTCTGATGGTCCTTTACAGGTTCCCTATCACAACACACTGCTCTGTAAGTCAGACACCACCCAGTGTAATGACGGGTGACGGCTGTCCCAGGCAGTGGCCCCCAGTACTCACGTGTGGATGGACGCAGGAGCATCGTCTCTGTGGAAAGTGCCCTCACTGCCAACCTGCTCCCTGCGTTTTCCAGCTCTGTCTTTGTACTTTGGATTCTTCAATGTCTTTTCATCTTCATAATCTGCGTTCTTAATAAACACAGAATATTCACTGACAAAAGGAAAGCTAATAGATAAAAACTTACCTTCTGTACATTTGCTTTACTTAGGAAATAAGGTTTGATGTGGCTCACAAGTGACAAGGAAGAGCCCCGGTAAGGGTGTCGTATATCCTGATTTAACGCCGTGCTCTCATGCTGCCCTGTGAACTGCCAGTATTTAAAGAAAAATACAGAACCCTTGAGACTGGAAGAAACAAGCTACCCGCCTTTTTCTAAGGAAAGCAAAGTCTCTGCCATAAGAACTTAACACAGTATGAGGCTGCTTGCTTTTGAAAGGGAAAAATATGAAAGTCTTTTAAGAAATGAGAAAAAGATACATACCCCTTCACTCTGGTGATAATAATAGTTCATTACTTTAATACCACTATTTGTATGACTAACCCACTATCCAACAAATATTCACTGCGTAAGGCACTAAACTCCGTGCCAGGGAGTGGAACACAATGAAATCTTAATCACGAGGAAAGACACATAACTGAGCCTGCTACGGCATGGGTGGTTTGAGAACAGAGGTTTGCCGTGCTGTGGCAGTGGTACAAGAAGAGGCATTCAGTGCTGCTTTAGTCATCAGAGAGGTCTTCCTTTTTCCACTGTCATTACTTGCTGATTGCTAACAGAATGACAGGGCCAGGGATACAGCTCGGTGGCACAGCGCCTGCCTGGCAAGCACAAGATCCTGAGTCCAATTCCCAGTACAGAAAAAAGAATGACAGGCATCCAAGGATGATGGGACTGAAGAGCAAAGCAGGAAAGCACATACCACAGAAGTTTTAATTTTTCTGTTAAACAGAGAAATAATAGAAAACCACTACCCTAGTGAGTTTATTCCCCAGGAGACAACACACCACAGTTTGTTTACCTGTGTATGATGAGCACCCCGGTTTTAGGTTATTACAGAACAACAGCTAAGTACGTGTTACTAGCCTTTGTATCAAAACATGCTCGGGTTGCTCTTGGGTAAATACCTAGACGTGAAACAGCTGGATCATACAGGAGGTGTATATGTCACTTTTTTTTAATGGTTTAAATAGTTTTTTAAAACAGGGATTGAACATAGGTCTTCCTGCATGGTGCAGAAATACTCTTTCACTGAGCCAGCCCCTTAGTCTCCTTCAGCTTTTTAAAAATTATCACCTGTTTTCCAAAGCAACTGCAGCAGTTTACACTCTCACCAGCACTGTATGAGTTCCAGCTCATCTGCATCCCTTCCAGCATTTGGTATAGTTAAGTTCAGTGTGAAAATTCAGCCATTCCAGTAGATACGTAATATCTCACTAAGGTTTAAATTCACTAATGATGAATAATATTGAACATCTTGCTGAGCGTGGTGGCACACGCCTGTAATCCCAGCACTCAGGAGGTTGAGCAGGAGGATTGTTCCAAGTTCAAGAACAGCCTGAGCTACAAACTGAGCTCAAGGCCAGCCTGAACGGCATAGTGAGACCCTGTCTCAAACACACACACACACACACACACACACACACACACACACACAAAAGGATTGAACATCTTTTCATGTATGTACTTGCCATGGGTGGTATTATTTGATAAAGTGTCTATGCATATCCTTGACATTCATTCACTCACTCTCTCACTCATTCATGCAATCTGACCTCAGCTTTGCAAGCAGCTGGGACTGCATGTGACCACCACACTGCTAGATAGCCTTTTTGTCTGGTTTTTGAGTTATTTTTTCTGTATTGAATTTTGAGTTTTTCCCATATTCTAGATATGTCTCTCATCAGATACATGATTTGCAAATATTTTTTCCAGTCTACGGCTCGTGTTTTCATTGTTTCTGTTTCTCCCTTTCTTTCTCCCTCCCCTCCCACCTCTACCCCTTTGATAGACGCATAGACTGAGATCAGGGGCACTTCACCTGGATTTTTAATTTTTTAAACTGTGAGCCAGGGCTTTGCTAAGTTGCCTGGGCTGACCATTAATTTGCAATCCTCCTGCCTCAGCCTCCCAAGTAGCTAAGAATACAGATTTATGCCATCATGCCGAGTTTCTTTTCATTTTCTTAAGTGTCTTTAGAAGAACAGAAATTTTAAATTTTGAGGAAGTATAACTGTTCTTATGGGTTGTGCTTCTGTTCTTAGATATATTAGAAATCTTTGCTGAACCATTTTCTTAAACACTTCTAAGGATCTTAGGCTTTACATCTATGATACATTTTTAGGTCACTTTTGAGTAACGTACAAAGCACAAATGAGCTCTTTGTTGTTTATTCATTTGCTTTTCTTTCTTTTGCACATATTCATCTAATTATTCTACAACCATTTGTTAGAAAAAAAAAATTTTTTTTTTTTTGGCTTTTTGAGACAGGGTCTCATTATGCAGCTCAGGATGGCCTTGAGCTCACTTTGCAGCCCAGGCTGGTCTTGAACTTGCAACAATCTTCATGCCTCAGCCACCCAAGTGCTGGGATTACAGGCGTGTGCCATCAAGCCCAACAAAAACTATCCACATTTTTGCCGCCAAACTTCCTCCATGTCTTTGTTGAAAATCAGCTGTCAGATATATCTGTCACACACACACATTGGTCTATTTCTAGATTCACTTAATCCAGTTTTTTATCTATAAGCCAATAGGATACTGTCATCCTAAGTCCAAAAATCAGAATTAGTCCTCTGTGTTCTTGCATGGCATCTTAATGTAGTATTTTTGTTTAGAGCCAGAAATACCTACTCAAATGTAAGCTACCATTATCACTTTTATACTCCAATCTCCATAGCTGTTAGGTTGGGGACACCAGAACAAATAGAAGTAAATCTCAAAATTCATGCTAAGTAGTTCTTTTTGGTTATATATAATTTACTTAGTATAGCTACAGGCATTTTTTTTATTCAAAGCCAGATATATGGTTTAACATAAGACAATATTTAACATCCTTACCTGTAAACCATACTTTACTCGTATTTTCTTTAATTCTTTTCTTCTTTCCAATTCTTTTTCCTCCTTACTTAATGCTGGACCAACTGAAATGAACAGTAAGTCTGGTGAAAAAAATCCACTAAATTTGAGACTCTGTAAAATATCAATGCTACTATTTAATTTAAAAACTAAATATTATTAGTACCCTATTTAGATCAACCAGAAGTTGAGATAAACACTAATGTAAAGGATCTTGGGTTATAACAACTTGCTTTTAGCTTTTTGAAACTAAATATATTTGGAAAGCAAACCAAAACCCAAAGATTAGGACTTGACAGCACAGATACCAAAATAAACAATGAATATCTTACTCATTCATTAGGATTATTGTAACAGAATCCCAGACACAGAAATATTAAGTAAATTTTCCAAAGGAACATACAAATGTACAAAAGGAAAACAAAAATCACAGAACCCACAATTCATGTTACTGTATAATGTGACATATTCATTTTCAAACTGGTATCAGAAAACAAAACAATGAACATATATACTTCATATTCACAGGAAAAGCTGAAATAAAAATATTCCCTTGCTACTTCAAAGTATTTAAATTTTAGAAGCTTTAGATGGGTAAGTTCAAAGCACCACAGCAATACCCTGAACTATTTATTATAAAAAATATTGGTATACATAGACAATATAGCAACATAAATTATCAATTAGATAGGAATCAATGGCCCTTAAAACTTTGGCCTATGGTTTTCTATCCTAATATTTTATGACAAGAGCAGGCTGGGAGTATAAGTTCAATGGCAGAACGCTTGCTTATAACATGAGAGCTCCTGAGCGCAGTCCTTTGCACCACAAAAACACAACAAACAGAACAAAATAAAGGAAAGCAAAAGTCAAGTATAGGGGGCTGGGGATTTAACTCAGCAGCACAGCGC